GCGACGTCGAGGAAGTCGAGGAGCGCGGCCTTGTGCGCGTCCTTCGTCGCGCCGTCGAGCGTGCCGCCGTGAGCGTTGTCGACGCCGAAGTCGTGGTCGTCCCAGATGCCGTCGACGACGGCCAGCGACGCGGCGTAGGCCGCGTAGCCCGACTCGCGCTTCTGCTTGCCGTAGAGCGCCTGGAGCATGGACGCGTTCGCCGGCGTCGGGCGCAGCGCGCCGAGGAGCTCCTGCGCGGCGCGGTACGTCGCGGGCAGGCGCTCGACCTCGGGCGAGAAGCGGTCGCCGTAGACGATGTCGCCGCCCCAGAAGAAGGCGTCGCCGCGCCGCCGGCGCAGCGTCGACCACATGGGCTGGAACTCCTCCGTGTCCGAGCAGGAGCCGATGTGGATGCGCGTCGCCGTTGATGGCTTCGTCGTCGTCGTCGCGGACGCCGCGAAAGACGCAAACGAGGCCACGCGCATGGCCAGATCCGTGATCCGGTGCGTGCGATGCATCGTATGCACTGGCACGGTGCGTTGATGCATCGGAGAGATGCAAATGACAGTCAGTCGTGGTGCTGAGCACACAGATTCGAGAGATGCGATTGTTCGTTAGGAAGACTGCAAGCACTTGTGTGTTGACGTCAAGGAGCCGTGAAAAAAACTCACTTGGCCGTTGTCCGGTAGCGACGTCTGCCGCTTCGGCCGAGGTAGGACGCGAGGCACGAAGGACACGAGGTAGGACAGCGGGCTCCACGTCGTCGTCTCCAAGTCCGAGTCCTCGAACTCGACGCCGCCCGCCGGCGCCGAAGTCCGCCGGCGCGCACAAGAGGTCGAGGATCGACCAGGCCCGCTTCAAGGCATTGGGTGGAGTCAAAACCGCAAAATCGCACGGTGTCCCGGTTATTTGGGGTCCGCGAGGAGGTCCGGCACATGGTTGAACTTCAAGGACCCCTTCAAGCAAGCTGGTTGCCACAGCCACAAAATAGCCTTGCACGGCGGCAACAACCGCACTGCGTGCGCGAGATCGCGCGCCGCGACGATGGCTGCGGCAGCGTGCCTCACCGGCGAAGGGACGGCGGACCAAGCGACGTCGCTGTCGGAGCTCCTGGCGGTCCGCGCCCGGGAGAAGGGCGAGGTGCCGCTCTTCAGCTGGTGGGACGACAAGCGGGGCGCCGTCGAGCTCGGCCGGCAGCTCAGCTACGCGTCCGTGGAGCTCCTGGCGGCGCGCGTCGCCTGGCGCCTCGCGAACCGGGAGGGCGTCGGCGTCGGCGACCGCTGCGTGCTCGTCTACGAGCCGTGCCTCAGCTTCGTCGTCGCGTTCCTGGGCTGCGGCCGCCGCGGCTGCGTCGCCGTGCCCGTGTTCCCGCCGGAGCCGCGGAAGAAGTTCACGGCGGAGCTCGGCGCCTTCGTGTCCATCTGCGGCTCCTGCGACGCCCGGTTCGCGCTCACGTCGACGGCGTACGGCTGGGCGAAGAAGGCCGGCGCGCTCGCGGCGTCCGCGGCGTCCGTCTTCGGGCCCCGGGGCGTCGCCTGGCCCGAGTCGCTCAAGTGGATCGTCTGCGACGCGGACCTGGGCAAGAAGGGCGACGGCCTGCCCCACGGGCCCGTCGACGGCCCCCACGCGAACGTCGCGTTCCTCCAGTACACGTCGGGCTCTGTGTGGAAATCAAATCTTCAACCCGACTTCAATGTGAGCGTATTCGAATGTTTTGACACAATCACTTCCGCTGTGCTTCGAGAACTCGACGAGAGCAATCGATCCGTCCAAAAATCAGCCGAATCGACTTCGATGTGACCGAGCTAGAGAGGTTTGAAGTTTTTGCCGGACGGGGCGTTCCACCGGTTGATTTGCACACAGGTCGGGCTCGACGTCCGAGCCCAAGGGCGTCGTCATCACGCACGCGTCCCTGACCCACAACCTGACCCTCATCGTCTCCGAGCTGAAAGCGACGGAGAAGACGGTGTGCGTCTCCTGGCTGCCCCAGTACCACGACATGGGCTTGATCGGGAGCTACCTCGGCACGCTCCGCTGCGGCGGGTCGGGCTTCTACGCGTCGCCGTTCACCTTCGTGAAGCGGCCGGCCTGTTGGCTCGAGGCCATCGCCAAGTTCCGGGGCACGCACATGCAGGCGCCGAACTTCGCGTACGCGCTGTCGACGCGGAAGCCGCCGGCGGCGAGGCTCGACCTGAGCTGCGTCGAGCACATGATCGACGCCGCGGAGCCCGTCGACAAGGGCGCGCTCGACGCTTTCGTCGCCTTCTACGGGCGGGAGCACGGCCTGCCGGAGAACGTCGTCTTCCCGACCTACGGCCTCGCGGAGTCGACGGTCATGGTCACGTGCAACGGCGCGGCGGCCGCGCGCGTCGACGGCGACGCGCTGCGCGCCGACGGCCTCGTCGTCGAGGCGGCGAACGGCGAGTGGCTCGTGGGCTGCGGCGCGCCGCGGGCCGACGCGGGCGTCGACGTCGCGATCGTGTCCAACTGCGGCGACGACGACGACGGCCCGAAAAAGCGGCTCGGCGAGGGCCGCGTCGGCGAGATCTGGGTGTCGTCGCCGTCCACGGCCGCCGGCTACTGGAACCGGGACTGCGACGGCGAGTTCCGCGCGGAGCTCGCCGACGGCACCGGGGGGCCCTGGCTCCGCACGGGCGACGTCGGCTTCCTGCTCCGCGGCGAGCTCTTCGTCTGCGGCCGCCTCAAGGACCTCGTCATCCTCCGGGGCAAGAACCACTACCCCCAGGACATCGAGCGGTCCGTCGAGCGGGCCGCGCCGGAGTCGCTGCGCCCGGGCTGCGTCGCGGCGTTCTCCGTCGACGACGGCGGCGAGGAGCGGCTCGTCGTCCTCGCGGAGGTCCGCGACGACGACGCCGCGCAGCGGCGGCGGCGGGGTTTGGCGGCGCGCGAGGGCCCGGACGGCGCGTTGGGCTACGGCGCCCTCGCGGAGCTCGTCGCGAACGCCGTCGCCGCGGAGCACGGCGCGGCCGTCGACGCCCTCGTGTTCCTGAAGCCGCGGACGATCGCGAAGACGACGTCGGGCAAGATCGCGCGGAAGCGCTGCAAGGCGGGCCACGCGGCGGGGTCGCTGAAGGTCGCCTTCGCCGCGAACCTGCGCGACGGCGCCGCGCCACCGACGGACGAGACGACGCGCCTCGTCGCGAGCCAGCCGCGCGCCGCGGGCGCCGACGGCGCGGTCGCCGCGGGCGGCGTTTTAGCGGACCTCGCGACGGAGCTCGCGCTGCTGGCGCGGCGGCCCGCGGACTCGATCCGCGCGACGCAGCCCCTCGTGGACTCGGGCATCGACTCCATGGACCTCGCGCAGTTCAAGGGCGTCCTCGAGGCCAAGTTCGGGTGCGCGGGCCTGCCGGACGACCTGCTCTTCCGCGACGACACGACGCTCCTGGCGCTGGCCAAGGTCGTCGAGGCCGGCGGCGCCTTCGACGAGGCGGGCTTCGCGAACATCGGCAGGTCCCTGGAGATCGACCGGTCCCACGCGTCCTCGAAGAAGTCCGACTTCATGGTCGACAACTGCCCCTGCTGCCTCGTCTGCTGCCCGTCGAAGCTGCGCTAACATCGTACCTACGAACCTTCTCTTGAAATCATAGACACGGCCCAAAAGGCCAACTTGATTGAAAGCAACATGCTGAAACAGGAAATAACTGGTCCAAAAAGTCGGCTGACCGGCCTCCGCACGCGAGCTCCGGCGCGGGGTCTGCCGGGGACAACACAGACCCCAGGACCGGCCTCCCATCCCCGCGCCGCAACTACCAGTCCTCCTTACCCACGGGCGTCGCGTCGCACGCGCTTACATGTCCGGTGGATATGTTATTGGAAGAGGCGCCGCGGCTCGAGCTCCGGGTCGGGGTCGCCCCGGAGCCGGGACGGCGACACGGGCGACCGGAAGAAGCGCGGCGGCGACCGCCGCGGCGTCTCGGGCTCCGGCGCCGCGGGCGAGCTCGCGACGCCGCCGACGCCGCCGCCGCGCGACGAGGGCGTGACGACGACGCGGCGCGGCAGCTTCGACGGCGTGGACGGCGGCGACGGCGCGACCTTGGGCGATCCCAGTTGGGCCACGGACGACTTCACGACGAAGACCGTCGTCGGCGCGTCGCCGCGCCCGCCGCGCTTCGGCGTCCAGTACGTCGGCGGCGCCCAAAAGTCGAGGTCCGCGGACGGGTCGATGCTGAGGTCGCGGCGCCGCGGTCGACGCGGCGTCGCGGGCGCCGCCGGCGGGCTCGGCGGGGGCGGCGCCGGGGGCGCCGGCGCGGTCGCGGCCCCGGGCTCGGCCGCGCCCGCCGGCGGCGGCGGCGGCGTCGGCGGCGGCGGCTCGGGCGCCGCGCGCGCGCGCCGCTCCGCGGCCAATCGCTCGGCCTCCTGGAGGCGGCGCAGGTCCGGCGGCGGGTAGAACAGCTCGGGCATCGCGTACTCGGGCATCGCCGGCATCGCGTAGTCCCGCTTCCGGCGTTCCGCGCGCCGCTGGATCGACGCCTGCATCACCGCGCCCGCGAGGCACGCGGCCATGCTGACCGCCGCGCCGAACAAGACGAAGACGCCGACGCCGTAGCGTCGCCGGACGGTGCGCACGAACAGCGCGAGGCCTCGCAGCTGGCGTTTCGTCGGGAGCGCGGTCGGCGCGGGCGTCGGGAGCGGCGAGGGGCACGGCGACGGCGCGCCCAGCGACGGCGCGCCCAGCGTCGGCGACAGCGTCGGCGACAGCGTCGTCGAGGGCGCCGGCGAGGGCTCATAGCTCGGTTTGCTCGAGGAGGGCCGCTGGCTCATCGACGGCGAAGGGGTCGGATGCGACGTCGGGGCGGCCGTCGGCCGCGCCGTCGTCGTCGGAGGGTACGAGGGTGCCGGCGATGGCGCGTAGGTCGTCGGATACGGCGATATCGACGGCGTGCGCGTCGGCTCGGACGTCGGCTCGCGAGTGGGACACGCCGTGGGACCGCCGGTGGTGGGCACGGACGTCGGCGCGGGAATCGGGCAGCGCGTCGGGACCGGCGAGATGGTCGGCGCGGACGTCGGCGTTTCGCTGGGCAGCGGCGACGGTTCTGGCGTGGGTAGCATACTCGGGAGCGGCGAGGGCGCCAGGGTAGGATCCGGCGTCGGCGCCTATGACAATGACGCTGTTTGCTGTTTTCCCGACCAAAAGGACGCCGGTCGCGCGCGGGCGAGACCGTCGGCGACACCGTCGGCGCCTCCGTCGGCGGGAACGAGTGCGTCGGCGCGAACGTCGGCGCGGCGGTCGGAACGGGCGTGTCGAAGCAGGAAAATAGCAGGTACTCGCGGGGGTTGTCCCAGGCCGAGCCCACGTGCTCCACGGGCGCGCAGAAGCTCCCGTCCGACAGCGGGAACGGCGACGCCGCGAGCCAGACGCGGTCCCTGTCGTCGTAGGGCCGCGACGCGTTGCAGCCCTCGCCCTCGAACATCCTGAAGTAGACGCTGCCGGACGCGCAGCGGCCGCGGAAGGAGATGGCCGTGCCGGACCACGTCGCCGCCGCGCAGGCGTCGTTCGCGAAGGTCCGCGCGCCGCTCGGCAGATCGGCGACGACGACGTCGCCGTCCCAGTGGCGGAGCGGGTCCTCGCAGGCGTCGTCGACGTAGGCCCCGAAGGTCCAGCCCGTGCCGAGGCCCGTCGTGTCCGCGACGCAGGCGCAGTCGCCGCAGTTGACGCCGAGGTGCACCTCGAGCGCGTGGCAGTCGGCGCCGTACCGCGCGGCGTCGTCGCACGTCTCGAGCCGATCTCGGATGCGCCGCGGCGCGCAGAACTCCTCCGTCGGCGATGCGCTCGGTCGGTAAAACGTCGTCGGCGCCGGCGCCGTCGGCGGCGCCGTCGGCGGCGCCGGCGTCGGCGCCGGCGTCGGCGCTTCGCCGCCGGCGCTGCGCGCCAGCGCGGCCAGCGCGACGATCGCCGCCCTCATCGCATGCTATCGCTGTGCCGCGGCATCGCTGCGCCCATCGACGCCACACTTGTGCTGCCGTCGGGGCTAGACTATCTGTCTAACGAGCGTTCCATGCTTTGACACATATTAATGATGCAAGTTGCAGTGCTCCTTTACCCGGACGCGACGAAGATTGTGCTAAGATTGTGCCGGCAGAAGCTAAGGCAGAAGGGCAGCCTGGTGTCTTTGTTGTGACGGGCGCCGTGTTTAAGCCCCCACAAGGCACGTCTGTTACCGTTGGCCGAGGCTCTTCGGCGGCTTCTGGATGGCCTGGATGCAGTGCGCGAGGATCGTGACCTGGAAGCGCGCGAGCTTGGCGTCCCAGGACCCGTCCTCGGCGCGGTCGTCGCCGCGCCTCGCCTTGAGCGCCGCGAGCTGGACCTCGAGCGGCGGCGCCGCGGCGGCGTCGGCGGCGCGCAGGAGCGTCGCCGCGGGCGGGTCCGACCGGACGCCGAGCGCGTCCGCGCGGCGCAGGAGCGTCGGCAGCGTCCGCGCGCCGAGCCAGAGGAGCACCGCGCCGCCGGAGGGCCTCCCGTAGCCGATGGACGCGAGCTGGTTCAGGACCTGCAGCGCGCCGAAGACGAACTTGCCCGCGGGCACGCGGTCGCCGGCGCCGTGGGCGTGGATCATGCAGAAGAGGTCGAGCTGCTGGAGCCACTGGCTCCCGAAGTGGGCGAGGCTCTCGCGCGGCAGCCCCGGGCACGACCGCCGCGCGTCCTCGAGGTGCGCGTCCGCGAAGGCGAGGTCCGGGCGCACCGTCTGGCTGAGGTTGTCCCCCGGCGACCGCTGGTAGTAGTAGAGCCAGCAGGCGTCGAAGCTCATCTCGGGCTCGAAGATGGCGAACGCGCCGGGCGCCGCGTGCGCGACGCGCAGCCAGCGACAGAAGCACACGTCGGCGTAGCGGCTCCCGAGGAGCTCGCGCGTCGCGCCGGCGCAGAACGCCGCGACCTCCGCGGGGCGCACGGCGCAGTGGTAGTACTCGATGCCGTCGCCGCCGACGACGGCGCCCGTCCGATCGCGCACGGGCCGGCCGCAGCGCTCCGCGAGGCCCTCCGCGAGGAGCGCGTCCACGGCGCCGGGCGTCCGCGCGCGGCACCGCTCCTCGGCGCAGTCCTTCGACGGCACGCAGCGCCACATGGCGCAGACCGTCCGCGCGGCCGCCGGCGCGGACGCGACGGCCTCGGCGTAGGCCCGCGCCCGCAGCGGGTGGCTCAGGTCGTCGTCGTCGTGGAAGAGCAACCAGCAGCCCTCGCCGCACCAGCGCGCCGCCTCGGCCGCGAGCGCGCCGTAGTGCTCGAACTGGCTGTGCGGCCTCCGCTGCTCGAGGGACACGAGCGGCGCGCCGCGCGCGCGCGCGGCGTCGCGCGCGGCGGCCGCGAGCGCGTCGCGCGTCGCGTCGCGCCACCGCGGCGCCGACGACCAGCCGACGACGAGGCAGGCCGGCGGCCAGGGCCCGCCGATGACGGACCTCGCGGCGGCGCCGAGGCTCGCGAGGCGCGCGGCGCTCGACACGTGCGCGGCGAGCACGACGCAGATCGCCGGCCGCGGCGCCGCGGCGTCGCGGTCGCCGGCGACGTGGTGGACGACGCCGAGGCGCGCGGGCGCGTCGCGCGCCGGCGCGCGCAGCAGCCGTTCGGTCACCCAGCCCGCAGTCGGCTGCGCCAGCAGCGCCCGCGCGCCCTCCACGCGCGCGACGCGCACGGCCGCGCCCCACTCGAGCCGCGCGACCTCCGCCGTGTCCGTCGACGCGCCGCGACGCACGATGACGCCTTTTTTCGAGTGCACGACGCGGACATCGATCGTGCTCTGGTCATCTCGCATCGCGCTACTGCAGCTCTGGTCATCTTGCATCGGGGATATTACTCCAGAAGGAGATTGAGGCAGCCCATGCTGTACTGCAACCCGGAGCGCACGTTGCATGGTGAACGGCGATATGCCGGCTTGATGCTCCGATTCGTTCGCGAGTGCGTTGCCACGAGATCGCCGTCGCTTGCACCTGCGTGAACCCCAACCAGACACGGCAAACGATGATCGCCGCGGCCATCCTCTTCGTCCTCCCCGCGGCCTCGGCCCTCGTGGCCCCGGCGGCGCGCGCCGCGACGCGCCGCGCGCCGCTCTGCGCGGCCGTCGAGCGCGTCTACAACATGCCGGACTGCCTCGACATCCCGAGCGACGTGCCGGCGCTCGACGGCCTCCTCGGCGGGGACGCGTCGGCGGCGCCCCCCGCGGAGCTGAAGAAGGGGCCGAGCGAGTTCGAGCTCAACCTGGGCAAGTGCATCGACACGCTCCGCATGGACGTCCCGGAATTCGCGGACCGCGAGTTCCAGTGGGATATCTACACGGACGACGTCGAGCTCAGCGACCCCCAGGCCGTGCAGGCGCGGGGGCTCGCGTCCTACAAGCAGTTCTTCGCCATGGTGCGCGCCTTCCGGCGCTTCGCGGTCCGCGACGTTTCCGTGACGTACAAGCTCCGCTACGACTGGGCGGGCAAGCGCGTCATCGTGACCTGGTACTCGGAGTGGACCATGAAGGGCTGGCCCCAGATCGGCGCCCGCCCCACGCACGTCGACGCCGTGTCCTACTTCTCCCTCACCGACGAGGGCTTCGTCTACAAGCACGAGGTCGACCGCGTCCAGATCAACGGCCAGATGCTGTCGCCGCCCTACGGCCTCGCCTGGGCGGGCGTCAAGCGCGACATGTTCGACGGCCTCGACGCGCCCGTGCCCGCGGGCGCTTGGTGAGGACGGCGCCCGGCGACGGCGCGCGGTCCGCCGAAGTGCTCGACGGACCCTCGGAAATTCTAATGTGTGTGGTTGTTCGATTTGCTTTTCGTTCTCTTTTATCCGGGGTCGCTTCGGTGCGTCGGCGCGCGGTCTGCCGGGGACTTCCTGCGGCGCACGTCGGGAGTGCGGGGTCCACGCGGGACCGCCGGACGTGACGCGAGCGCAACGCGAAACGCGGGACGCCAAACCCGGGGATCCGCCCAGGTAGGAGACGAGCGTTACAGCCGGGGCGTAGGGGCAAGACCGTCCGAGTCTCGGGACGCGACTCGCGATGCGACGGAAGGCCTGACGGACGACTCCGGAGGCGTCCAATCCGCCGACACAAACCGGCTTGGCGCTCGAGCGGTTTTGAGCATCTCGGAGCTCCGCCGCCCCCGAGATGGAGAACAACCCCCCCAAAACCGGGGGGCTCCCGAGCGGGCAGACCATAAATGCGAAGCGAACGAACCCCCTCGACGACCGCGCCGCGGAAAGTGAGGTCGACCGGGTAAAAAAGCTCCGACGAGTGGACGACGACCAAGACAGCGAGTCCTCGGACGAGGGGGCGTCGGCTCACAACGAGGTGCGCCGCCCCCGCCCAGACGCCCCGACCCCCGCCGCCCCCGCCCCTCCCCCGCCCCGGCGCGCGCGCGCGCGCGCGCGCGAACCGCTCGAAACCCCCTCGACCGCCCAGGTACGCGATTCGCTCGTGGGCCCCACGGAGGACGACCTCCACCTGCTCCTGCTCCAGCGGGCCGCCGAGGGCGACGCGGCCACGGTCCGGGAGCTCCTGGCGCGGGGCGCGGACCCGCGGCCGCGGCGGATGAACTTCTTCGGCGACGACGAGCCGGCGGCGCTCACGGCGCTCGCGCGCGCGGTGCTGTCGCCGAACGTCGCCGGGGGCGAGGCCGTCGCCGTGGCGCTCTTCGACGACGGGCGCCTCGACCTGCTCCGGCCCGAGTACTGCGTCGCCACCCGCATGACGCCCGAGATCACGGCGCGCAAGGCGTCGCAGCTCGACTCGAACGTCGTGTCGCTCGTGCACTACGCGGCGGCCAAGGGCCGCATGGGGCTCCTGGCACTCTGCCTGCACCACCCCAACGCGCCGGCGCACGCGGCGGACGCCGACGGCCACTACGGCCCCGTCGCGACGGCGCGGCGCGGCCGGTGCACGCCGCTCCACGTCGCCGCGCTCGCGGACCGGGAGGCGGCCGTGGACGCGCTCCTCGACGCCGGCGCCGAGCTCCACGCGCGGGACTGCGACGGCTTCGACCCCCTCTACCTCGCGGCGCGCTTCGGCTGCGACGGCGCCATGGCCGCGCTCCTCCGGCGCCCGGGCTGCGACCCGGACCACACGGCGAACGCGGGCCACACGCCCATCTTCCTCGCGGCGCGCTACGGCCACCTCGGCTGCGTCTTCAAGCTCCTCCGCGCCGGCGCGTCCCTCGCCGTGCGCGCGCTGCCGTCCGGCGCGCGGTCGCCGCTCGACTACGCGATCCACAAGCACGGCGCGGCCAACTGCGACGAGCGCGTCCTCGAGCAGCGCGAGTGCATCGAGTTCCTCGCGGGCTGCGAGCGCCGCGGCGGCCTCGGGGCCTGGTGCGCCGCCGAGCGCGCCGCCCTCGCGAGCCTCCGGGCCCTCGTCTTCGCGGGCCGCGCGCGCTACGAGGCGAGCGCGGCGTTCGCGGCGTCGACGCCCTACTTCGCGGCCTTCGCGTACACGTGCGGCGGCGCGGACGCGGGCACCAAGGCCTACCGCGCCACGCTGAAGATCCACCACACGATCGCGGCCCTCTTCGGCGCCAAGGACTTCCCCGTCGAGGTCTTCTCGCTCGTCGTCGAGTTCTGGCTCAGCCCGCGCGTCCTCCACGAGGACTTCCCCGACGACGACGTGTCGCTCCTCGACCGCTCCGACGACGACGACGACGACCGGTACGAGCTCAGCGTCGCGTCCGACGACGAGGCCGCGGGGGACGACGTCGTCGACGTCGCCGACCTCGAGTAGGCGCGTAAGCCGCCCTCCTGTCACGAAGCGGGGAGTTACGACGACCGAGGGATGCGCTGCAGGCGGGCGCCTCGCGCTTTTGGCGGGGTCGGCACCGGCGCTTCAGCGCTGCGGCGCGGGCGGGGGCATGACGCCCGGGGGCTCCGCGCCGCGGATCCAGCCGCCGTTGCTCCGGACGAGGCCGTCGAAGCTCGCGACGAGGACCTTCGCCGGCTCGTCCATCTTGTTGCCGCCGACCTGGAGCCGCTCGAGGCCCGGGAAGGCCGCCGGCGTGTTGGCGGCGTCGACCTCGACGATGGCGCAGTCGTCGACGAAGAGCACGCGGAGCTTCGGGCACGCGGTGAGGTCCGGCACGCGCGCGAGCGCCTTGTTCGAGCCCGCGTTGAGCGTCGTGAGCTCGGGGAGCGCCAGCGCCGGGAGCTCCGCGAGGCGGTTCGCGTGGATCGTCAGGTACTGGAGCGCGGGCAGCGCCGCGGCGAGCGTCGCGGCGTCGGGGAGCGCCTCGAGCGAGCAGTTGTTGCACTCGATGGACTCGAGCTTCGCGTGGACGCCGAGCGCCGGGAAGGCGGAGAGCGCGAGGTTCCGCTCGATCTTCAGGAGCTCGAGGGACGCCAGGCCCGCGAAGGACGGCAGGAACTGGGAGATGAGGTTGTTCTGGTGGAGCCGGAGCTCGCGGACCTTGGACCACTTGTCGAGCTTGGGCGTCATCTTCAGCTTGTTCGCGCCGAGGTTCACGTCCTCGAGGTTCTCCAGGTTCGCGAGCGTCGCGGGCAGCTTCGTCAGCTTGTTGTTGTAGAGGTTGAGGTTCGCGAGCGCCGAGCAGTCGCCGAGCGCGTCGGGGAGCGCCGTCATGACGTTCTTGAAGGCGACGAGCGTCGTCAGCTTCCCGAGCTTCCCGACCTCCGCGGGCAGCGTCGCCAGCTTGTTCTCCGAGACGTCGAGCGTCGCGAGGCAGGCGAGCGCGCCGAGCTCCGCGGGGAGCGACGCGAGCCCGTTCTCCGAGACGTCGAGGACCGCGAGCCGCGAGAGCCGCGCGACCGACGGCGACAGCACCGGCAGCGCGCCGCACTTGAGCGACAGGGTCGTCACGGACGAAGCGCCGTAGACGGCCTCGGGCACCTCGCCGCCGAGGCTCAGGCCGCAGCGGTGCAGGAGCCCCGGGGGCGCGTCGCTGCCCGCGGGCGCCGCGCTCAGGTCCAGCGTCGCGCCCTTGGTCTTCACCACGCGGGCGATGACCTCGTCGACGCTCTTCGGGTCCGAGGCCGCGCTTTTAGCGGAACAGGCGCCCATGATTGACGAGGATGCGAGCAACAGGCTTTGCCGCGGCAGCGCGTGAACTCATGTGAACAGCGCGCGTCGATGGTGCATGGGTGTTGCCGGAAAGTTGAATGCATCCACCATCCGCCGACACGACTGCCGATGCTTACGCCATCGCGTAGACGGGCGACGTCTCCGGCTCGTCGAGCGCGCGCTCCGGCACGTCGGGCGACGCCTCGATGGGCGAGAAGGCCGTCTTCGAGATGCCGCTCGGGAGCGTCGGCAGCGCGCGGCGCGCCGCCGGCGGCGGCCGGCCCGGGGGATCCCGCGGGGGCGTCTGCGCCGCGTGCGCCGCGATGAGCGCGTCGACCTTCGCGTGGAGCATGGCGATCTGCACGTCGACGTCGCCGCGGGAGCCCCGGCGGCCCCGGCGGCCCGCGGGGCTCGTGTCCATGGTCTGCGCGCGGCTCCGCCGCCGGGCGTTGAACCGCGGCGTCGCCGTCTCGGCCCAGCCCGGGAACGCGCGCCGCGCGGACGCGAGGTTGTTCCGCGAGGACGGCGGCCGCCGCCGCCGGCTGTTGAAGCTGTCGACGCGCGGCGACGACGGCCGCTTCTCGGCCGGCGGCGGCGCCGGCGTCGCCGCGGCCGCGCCCGGCGCCTCGTCCGGCGCGTCGCCGCCGTCGCCGCCCTCGGGCGTCTCGTCGCCGCTCTCGTCGCCGTCGTCGTCGGCGAGGACGACGAAGCCGTTGCCGAAGATGGCGATCAGCCCGCTCAAAACACCGAAGCCGACGACGACGACGGCGAGGCAGCAGATGGCGAAGGCCTCGAGCCGGCCGGCCTTCGCGGTCTCGACGAAGAAGCTCATGCCCACGTCGTCGAAGACGGGGATGCGCAGCGCCGTGAACATGGACCGCCCCAGCGTCGAGCACTCCGCGAAGTGATCCGCGCCGGAGTCGCCCAGGCTCGTGTGCAGCGCCGCGCCGAAGACGTACAGAGCGAGCGCGAGGAGCAACAAGAGCGCGAGGCCGCCGTGGCCCCGCGCCGTGAGCTCGCGCGCGAAGTTGTCGCTCATGAGGCGCACGGCGGCGGCCGTCCGCCGCACGTCGTCGTTCGCCGACGACGCCTCGACGGCGTCGGCGACGCCGACGACGCGCGCGGCCCGGAGCGCCGCGAGGCCGGGCGCGAGGAACAGCGCCGCCCACGACGCGGCCGCGACGGCGAGCGGTCCGAGGTCGCCGCCGCCGAGGGCGGCGCCGCAGGCCTCGGCGCTGTAGCACGCGAGGATCGCGCACTGGCACGCGAGCGTCGTCGCCGTCCGCGGGAGGCCGACGAGGGCCGCCTCGACGACGGGCAGCGCGACGCGCGCGGCGTGGAGCGCCGCGTCGCGCTTCCGCCGCCGCGCGGGCCGGTCGAGGTTGTCGCGGAGGCCATCCTCCAGGGCGATGGGCTGCACCCTGGCCTTGCTCGGCGGCCGAAGCTGCCCCTCGGCGTCGGCCATACCGCGGTGGTAACTTACGACCACAACCTTGCCACGAAGCGGCGCTGCCCCGCGGGTTCGGCCATAACAGAGCGTGGGACGTCGACGAGGATCGCAGCAACATTAATTGCAACATTACTGCATTACCAGCATCCTAGATGAAACGCTCATATCAAAGGCAGCCTCTCTCTCCTCCTCTCCTCTCCTCCAGGCAAGGATGCGGGCGTGTGTCATGGCGGCGCTCGCGGCGCTCGCCGCGCGCTGCGCGTTCTGCGAGGATTGTGGCTACGAGGATTGTGACTACGAGGTGAACTTCGGCACGTACGGCTACTACTACACCTACTACGAGGACCTTTATGATAATTGGACGGACTCGGGCTGCCGCTACGCCAGCTGGGACGGCATCGCCTGGGACTTTTACGGGCGCTTCAACTGGACGGATCACCAGATCTGGGAGACGATCGGCAACAACACGTTCCTGTCGACGGCCGAGCTCGAGGCCTTCATCTTGGGCGACGACGGGTCGACGCGCGGCGGGCGCGCGCCGAACTACGACAGCACGATGCTGCCGACGCAGTGGCTCTTCGGCGACGTCGAGGCGACGCCGGTGTTCCTCTACCCCTTCTTCGAGCTCACGGACTTCGACATCGACGAGCACAAGAACCTGCTCCACGCCGTGGGCACGCTGCGGCTCATGTGGGTCGACATGCGGCTCGCGTACGCGTACACGCCGGACTGCGAGGACGAACCAGTACTAGTGGATCCTGAGCCCGGCCTACCACGACAGGATCTGGCAGAGCAGCTGGTACTTCGTCGACGGGTCCGCGAGGCCCGCGACGACGACGCTGTCGCTCGCGATCTACCCGTCCGGGAGCATCACGCACAACGTCCGCGTCGACGACACGTTCCGGTGCCAGCTCGACCTGCGGCACCTGCCCTTCGACGAGCAGGAGTGCTCCGTGACCATCGGCTTCGCGCCCTACGACACGCAGCGCGTCCAGTACTGGGAGCCGCAGGTGACGCTCGGGACGCACGGGAACAACGCGTGGAGAATCAAGGGCACGTCGGCGACGGTGGACACGGTGATCCGCACGTCCAGGGACTACAGCGAGGCGCACATGACCTTCCGGTTCAAGCGGAAGCCCAACTTCTACTTCCTGCAGACCGTGCTCCCGGCGATGATGTTCCTGCTCATCAACTACGTGGGCTTCTGGGTCGACCGCCACGTCGGGCCCGCGCGCGTCGCCATCGCCGTCATCCCCGTGCTCATCATGCTCACGCTCCAGACCCAGTCCTACGCGCGCATGCAGGTCCTCTCCTACGTGACGAGGCTCACGAAGTTCCTCATCACGTGCCAGGTCATCTCCGTCGCGTGCGTCCTCGAGTACGGCGCCGTCTGCTACTTCCTCGGCCGCGAGCGGATCCAGGAGGAGCGCCGCCGCTGCATGGTCAAGAGCAACAAGCTCCTGCTCAGCCACCTCGAGGTCTTCACCGAGGGCGGCGCGCCCGCCGCCGCGGAGGGCCTCGCGCCCTTCGAGTACGCGCGCGACCGGCCCCGCGTCCGCGCGCTGACGCTCGGCGACGTGCCCATCGCGGGCCCGCACGTCGACGTCCTCGTGGAGCGCGGCGGCGGGCCGTACGCCGCGGAGGCCGCGGCGGCGCCGAAGCTCGCGAAGAAGGCGTCCTCGCGGCGGCTCATGTCCGTCGTCCAGATGCATCGGGGCGCGCTCACGGACCGGCTCCTCGACGCGCTCCGCGCCGTCTTCGACCGCGCGGACTCCGACCACAGCGGCACGATCAACCACCGCGAGCTCGCGACCTCGCTCCAGAACTACGGCTACTACGTGACGCCGGACCAGGCCTACCTCACGATGGTCTACTACAAGAGGAAGCACGGCAGCCCCATCATGGACCCGAACGACGCCATGTTCGACTTCAAGGAGTTCGTCGACCTCGTCGGCTCGGGCCCCGACGCGATCGTCTCCGGCTCCATCGTCGACGAGCCCCTCTTCTTCACCAAGCCCCGGTCCCTCCAGCTCGACATCTTGTGCCGCATCCTCTTCCTGCCCGTGACCATCGCCCTCACGGCCGTCGCGTTGGGCGTCGACTGGATCTAAGTCGCCTCTCTCTCGCGCATGAGGCGGCGCGCCCCGCCTCCGCGCCGCCCCTCCTAGAGGCCCGCGGCGATGGGCGCGTCCGACGCGACGCCCGCCAGGATCTCCTCGAAGAACGCGTTGAGGAAGCGGCCCTGCGGGTCGTACTCCTTGCGGAGCTGGAGGAAGTCGCCGGCGCCGGCGTTGGCCCGCACGGCGGCGCCGAGCGCGCGCGGCGCGACGCCGACGGACTGGTTGAACGCGCCCTTGAGCCCGCCGACGGTCGCGTCGAGGTGCGCCGCGAGCGCCTCGCAAAAGGGGAGGAAGCGGCCGCAGGCGTTGGCCGCGATGGGGTCGACGGTGACGACGGGCCCGGCCGCCGCGTAGGAGAAGGTCGCGAAGGCGTCGCGCTCCATGACGTAGGACACGAAGTAGGCGTTCGCGTAGCCCGTCGACCGCTCGTAGGCGTCGCAGAACGCGCGGAGCTCGTCGAAGAGGCGGCCGGCGCGGTCCAGGGGGAAGGCCAAAAACGTCCACTGGAACTTGGTCCAGGAGCCGTGGTCGTGCCAGCCCACGTGCGCGCCCGGCGGCGCGGAGCCGTGCGCGTGGAGCCGCGTGAGGGCGGCCTCGCCCGCGACGTGGAGCAGGCCGTAGAAGAGGCGCGCGACCGTCGCGGGGAGCAGGTCGCCGACGCGGAACAAAAAGGGGAAGAGCGCCGTGATGAAGACCTCGCGCGCGGCCCAGAACCAGTGGCCCTTCGGGGGCTTGAGCGTCGGCTTCTGCGTCTCGACGAGGTAGCGGTCGAGCGAGGGCGAGAGGTAGGCGAAGACGGAGCCGCCGCTGTTCGCGTGGTCCCGCGCGACGTCGGCGAAGTCCGCCGCCGACGCGTAGACCGCGTGGTCGACGGACCTCCCCGCCGCGGGCCGCACGGCGACGACGACGTCGACGACGACGCCGAGGAGGCCGTGCGACGACCGCAGGTGGCGCATGACCGCCGCCGGCGACCGGGGGCCCGCCGCGTCCTTGCCGTCGACGCGGTGGTAGTCGCCGGGCCCCGGGCCGCCGCCCGCGGCGTGGTCGCCCGTGCGCACCTCGTGGACGCGGCCCCGGCCGTCGACGAACGTCGCGCCGGCGACGTAGGACGACAGGATGCCCTTGTCGCCCGGCGCGTGGCGGTTCTTCGTGTGGCACACCGCCGCGGCGCCCATGGTCAGGTTCCCGATCTCCACGGCCGAGTAGAGCATGAGGCCCTCGCGGCCGAGCGCGGCGACGACGTCGCGGAGGCAGACGCCCGCGCCGACGGTCGCCGTCGCGCGGTCCTCGGCGACGGCCACGAGGCCCGGCGCCGGGTCGAGGCGCAGGATCGCGGCGCCGCGGGGCGCGGCGAGGCAGGCCGTGTTGCTCTTCGCGCTCCCGACGCACCGCACGCCGGAGGCCGCGTCCGCCCGGAGGAGCTTCGCGACGTCCGCCGCCGCCGACGGCGTCGCGGCGACGCGCCCCAGGGCGACGGTGCCGTTGTGGTTCGCGCCGTAGGGGTAGGACGCCGACGCGTGGCGCGCGGCGGGCCCGCGGCGGGGCAGCCAGGCCTCGAGCGCGCCGAACTCGCGCCGCGCGTACGCGAAGTTCGCGGCGATGACGGCTTCTTCGTCGACGGCGTCGAAGATCGCGCGCACGGCCGGCGGCGCCTCGAAGGGGCGGTGCATGGCCGCGACGAGCGCGTCGATGTCCGGCGGCACGAACGCGCGCACGGCGACGCGCGGGAAGCCCGCGGCGTCCGCGGCGCGCCAAAAGTCCGCGGCGCCCACGGTCGTCGCGACGCCGATGTCCGCGGACGCGAGCACGCGCTTCAGGCGGAGGGACATGTAGGGCGCCACGGCCCCGGCCGTCGCGTTGACCCAGAGCGCCTCGACGAGCGCGTCCACGGGGACGAGCGTCGCGTCGCCGGGGAACGCGACGCCGACCGCGCGCTGGATCGCCGCGGCCTTCCACATGGAGTCGTGGAAGCCCGGGTTCGCGCCGCCGCCCGCGACCGTGCCCAGGATGTAGGCGCAGTCCGTCCAGCTCCCGCCGAGGCCCCTCGCGAAGAACTTCTGCAGGAGCTCGTACTGGACGTACTTCTGGCGCATGTAGCCCGACGTCCAGACGCCGCGCCGCGTCCGGTTCTCCGGCACCGCGACGGCGAAGCGGCCCACGGACCCGACGAGGTGGAACGCGACGCCCGCGCGCGCGCAGAACTCGAGGAGGTCCACGTAGCTCGGCATCCAGTCGCTTCGTAAAATCTCGTAGGTCGCGACGAAGGACGAGTTCGCCGCGAGGTGGAAGCAGTAGCCGACGTCGCGCTCGACGTCGCGCCACGCGGCCGCGCCGAGGCCCAGGTGCCGCTTCTTGCAGTCGCCGTCGAGGATCGTGACCTACCAAGCATGTCGGTCACGATGTTTCATCGTTTCCCCACCCGAAATCTCTCGGAAATCGTCCCGGCCACCGGACGCTGATCGTCACCCGGCCCTCGAACTGGGGGAGGGCGAGGCCGTATTTCCCGGCGTCGCGCCGCAGCTTCTCGAGCGATCGCCGCCGCACGACGGCGAAGACGCGCGCGTCCGTCGTTCGGAGCAGCAGGTCCATGAGGTGGAGGCCGACCATGCCCGTCGCGCCCGTGATGAGCACGGCGGACTTGCCGTTGCCCGCCGCGCAGGGCGGCACGTCGTAGGCCGTGAGGTAGGGGTCCGCCGCGGGGTCCATGGCCGGGACGAGCTGCAGCAGCAGCGTCGCGCCGAGGCGCCACTGCTTCGCGAGGGCCGCCGGGAGATGGCTCTGCACGTGGTAGAGCCGCGTGAAGAGTTCGCGGAGCAGCTCGACGGGCGGGCGGTAGACGAGGAGCGGGACGCAGGCCGCCGCGATCCAGAGGAGGCTGCCCGCCATGGTGCGGTGCAGTGCGTGTGCGCGCGCGCGGATTCTCGCAGTGGCGGGCCGCGCTCGCGAGTCGGGCTGCCCTCGCGGACCGCGCCGCCCTCGCCACCCTCACGACCAACCTCCGCTGCGACGGCTAGGGGGCGGCCTCCGGCCGCCACCTGGCTCGGCTCGCCAAGGTACCCCACGAACCCCCCTGGATAAGCCCCCCCTCAAATGCACTCACTTCATCATTGGGTTCAATTCAAGGTCGGCTGCATCATGCACTGGTGTGTACTTCTAGTATCCGACAAGTTTGAAGTCAGTGTTTAAAGCATCTCACCCGCTCTCGATGCAGTCGTCGACGAGGCGCTGGACGTCGCGGGCGGGGACCTCGAGGAAGACGGCGCAGGCGCCGCCGGCGCCGTCGTCGGAGACGTCGCCGAGCACGCGGCGGTAGACGGCGACGGAGAGCGCGTAGAGCAGCGCGCTGGCGCCCGCGGCCGCGTAGAGGCCCGTCGCCGCGTGGGCGCCGGCCTCGAGCGCCCGGGGCACGACCAGGGTCGCCAGGAGCGCGCCCGCGACGCGGCCCGCGTCCGACAGGCCCGCGGCCGCGACCGCGCGCGACGTCGCGTGGGACTGGAGCATCATCGCCGCGGCCGCGTCCGCCGCGTCCGTCGCGAAGCGCGCGCCCAGGAGCCAGGCGGCGCCCGTGAGCGCGACGGCGACGTGCACGGCCGACGAGTCGCGGGGCAGGCGGTCGTCCGCGAGGCTCTTCGCGTAGGTCGGCGCGGCGACGTTGACGACGACGCCGAGCGCCGTGGCGACGCGGTAGGCCCGCAGCGGCGCGCGCTCCGGCATGCGCGCGAGGGCCTCGGAGCAGCGCCAGCGCAGCAGCCCCAGCGCGCCGCACGCGGCGACGGCCGCGCCCGCCGCGTCCGCCGCGCGGAAGCCCAGCCCGCCGCGCGACGCGGGCCCGAGGAGCCACGTCGGCGCGGCGGCGAAGAGGAAGGACTGGCAGGCCCAGGTCAGGCCCAGGCCCAGGTAGAGGCCGACGGCCAGCGCGGGGTCGCCCAAATCCTCGCGGCCGTCGTCGCCGTCGTCGTCGAGCTCGAGCGACTCCGCGCGCGTCCGCGGCGGCGGCGGCGCGCCGCGGCGCGCCGGCGCGCGCCTCTGGTGGCCGGGCACGGAGAAGGCCTCGGGCAGCGTGCGCATGAGGTCGTCGGCCGTCCGCGCCTTGAGCGAGCCGAGCGCCTTCTCCGACGACATCGACCGCCGGAGCGTCGCGGCCTGGATGGCGACGACGAGCGCGTCCTCGTCGGCGTCGCCGCCGCCCGGCGCCGCGCCGTCCTCCTCGTCGCCGCGCAGCACCCAGCGCCTGCGCTGGTCGCAGTAGTAGAAGTCGTTGGCCGCGCCGAGGTGCGCGCGCGGCGCGGCGGGCATTCGCCACGGCGCCCACCGCGGCCGCGGCGCGGGCGACGCGGGCGCGTCCGGCGATCCCACCTCCGGCGACGCCGCGCGCTGCGGCGACGCCGACGCCGGGGACGCGTCGGAGTCCGAGCCCCGCTCGAGGAAGTCGACCGCGCCGCCCGAGTTGAGCACGCAGACGGCCTCGAGCATGTCGAGCTCGTCCTCGGCCTGGCTCAGCGGCGGGCCGCCGCCCCCGTAGGTCGACGGCAGCTCGTCGTGGTCCGCCAGCTCCGCGAGGGTCGACGCGTAGTCCGCGCCGACGATCGTGACCTTGTGCCGCGTCTCCGCGGGCAGCACGCGCCGCACGCCCGCCCACGCCGCGCCGAACCACGACGGCGCGTTGAGGATGAAGATGCGCCGCACGCGGAAGGGCGCGAGGTTGTTCAGCACGTCCGACGCCGTCGCGACGAGGCGCAGGAGGAACGAGTTCACCTCGCTGAAGCGGAGCCCCGCGACGTCGAGCACGGTCACGAGCTCCGTCTCCTCGCCTTCAAACTTCAACGCCGCGTACTCGTGGATGAAGATGAAGTGGCGGAAGGCCTCCTCCATGGACACGCGGCCGCTCCGGAGCACGGCCGTGTCGAGCTGGCCCAGCAGCTCCCACATGATGATCTCGCCGCGCTTCGACCGCCCGCCGAAGTGGTGCGGGTACATCTGCTTCACGTCGTGGTACTTGGGCTGGCCGACCCGGACGACGGCGGCGACGTCGTTGGCCCGCCGCCAGGCCACGGTCTTGCGCCACCGCGCCTCCGCGGCCGCCCGGTCGCCGCCGCACGACTCGACGTAGAGCCGCGGCGCGCGGCGCCGCGTCGGCGACCCCAGCCGGTGGAGCGTGCCCTCGCTCGGCGCCCGCGCCATGGGCAGCGCCGGCGCGAGCTCCGGCTCGCTCGCGGGCATGCGGCGGAACGCGCGGTAGCACCAGCAGATCGCGGCCAGCGCGCCGCCGCCTAAAAGCCACGCGCCGGGCCGCGCGCGCGCGGACTCCGCGGCGGCCGACGCCGCGGCGGCGGCGAGCGCGCGCAGGACGTCCCCGAACGCGGGCTTCTTCGGCGGCCGCGGCGCGCCCGGCGGCGCCGCGGCCACGAGCAGGCCCCGGAGGCACCGCCGGTACGTCGACCGCGCGACCAACCTCGCCAGCGGCGCCGCGGCGCCCGCCGCGCGGCCGCCCAGCCGCCAGCCGTCGGCGCCGCGCGACCGGTCGGGGCCGCCGCCGCCGCAGGCGAGCGCCGCGGCGACGGACGCCGCGAAGCGCCAGCACGCCGCGCCGCGCCGCGTCCGCGCCGCGCCGAGCGCCGCGTGCGCCGCGAGCACCGCCGCCCACGCGGCCCAGCGCGGCGCCGCGGCCCAGGCCGGCAGCGCCGCCGCGCCGCGCCGCAGCAGGGCGCCGACCCGCAGGCCGCAGCCCGACGCCACGCAGACGTAGCCCCAGGCCACCGCGGCGGAGGCGTCGCTGCCGCCGGCGACGAGCACGCGCGGGCCCAGCGGCGGCAGGACGCTAAAGGCCGACAGACCCAAGAGGAACCGCGCCCAGCGCTGGGAAAGCGGGCCGCGGGTCGTGGGCTTCATGGCTTTTTTAGGCCAAGTCGCTCTCAGAGCCGGATCACGCCCGTCATCGTCGAGGGCAAGCGCGTCGACCTCTCCTCGCTGTGGACAAAGTAAGCCTCAATGAGGTCACGGTTTCCGGAGGTGAAGAGCTGCGGCCGCAGTCTCCGCACGCGCGCCCAGATGTACTGAGCAGAGGAAGGGGGTCTCCGACATTATCACCCAGACGGTCAATGGCCGACCGTCACCCATGGCCGCTGAGGCAAGCTGCGAACCCCAGGTCGTGAGATCGGCCGGCCGAACGCACGCGTCCTTAGGTTTCGGCACGCGTCAGGGAGTTTGGATTTGAGAACGCCCAGATTGCTATATATAATAAAGCGAGCTCTGAGGAGCCGTTGCAGCGGCTGCGCGCGGTATTTCTGCCTCAAGGTTGAGGCCTGAGCCAAAAGAGCCGCTTTCGTGCGTGGCGCCGAGGACGATGATGCGCCTTGCGCTATTCTGCCTGGGCGTCGCGTCGGCCTTCCACCTCCCAGCGCCGCACCGCGCCCTCGAAACGCGGAGACATGCCGCCTCCATCTCGGAAAAACTCGGTGAAGTCCAGCGCGTGGACACGACCATGGACCCGATCAAGCGCAACATCGAGCGGTTCACGACGGGCATCGAGGCCGTGGACGAGGACATGGACCAGTTCGAACCGATCAAGTCGACGCAGGCGGCGATCCTCAACACGGCCGTCGCCTGGGCGGCGGTGATGGCGCTCGCGCCGACGTCGATCGTGCCGCTCCACCTCGCGACGACGTCTATTGTCGCGGGCACGTGCGTCACGGACGCCATCGGGTCCTACGAGGAGTGGCAGTGCTCCACGGCGCGCGCCAACGCCCGCGAGATCGCGGCCATCTCGACGCGGGCGGCCGCCGAGGCCGAGGAGATCGTGTGCGGCGCGGTGCGCGTCAAGAGCCTGCTCCCGGTCTGCGTCCTCGTGAGCGTCGCGGCGCTGAACCTGTCGCTGCTGACGGACAAGGCCCTCGAGCTCGCGGTCCCCGAGGAGGGCGAGTCGGCGAGCATCGCGTCCTACGCGTCGCCGGGGCTCGCGAAGGTGATGAGCTGGACCCTGCCGACGCTCCCGGAGCCCGGGAGCGCCGCGCCGGCGGCCGCGGACGGCGCGGCCGCGGCGGCCCCCGCCGCGGCGACGCTGCCGGGCTGGCAGCTCCTCTTCGGCAGCCCCGCGCGCCCGGATCTGGCCTCGCCCATGGAGAGCGCGCCCATGGAAAGGGAAGTCGCGGCCTCCGTGAAGACGCTGATCCTGCTGGCGTGCCCCGTCGTCTCCCTGCTGACGGCGTCCGTGGCCGTGCTCGCGGAGCAGGACGCGTCGCGGCGCGCGCTCCGCGCGCAGGCGCTCGGCCGGCGCCGATTCGCGACGAAGGCGGACATCGGCCGCACGTGGAAGTCGGTCACGGAGATCGTCGAGATCGAGTCCAAGGCCGACACCGACGCCTGGACGGGCTTCGTCCGCGCCTTCCTGCCCGCGCCGCTCATCGCGGGCGCCGTCGCGAGCCTCAGCGAGTCGTCGGGCCAGGACGCGGCCGTGCTCGCGTCGATCGTCGCGACGGCCTGGGGGGGCTTCCAGGTCGCCGTGAGCTTCGTCGCCTGCGAGTACAACTTGGCGCGGGGCGAGGAGAGCGTCGCGGCCAAGAGCCGCAACGCGGGCATCGCCGAGGCCTACAGCGCGCAGGCGGGCAAGGCGAACGCGCAGGTGCCCTACGCGCACGCCATCTCCGTGCTCTGCGTGGGCACCGCCGCGCTCCTCGTCGAGGCCGTGCCGAAGATCCTGGCGCTGCCCCTGCCCTTCATCTCCTACGCGGCCGTCCGCCGCGCGGCCAAGTACCGGTCCCGCACGCGCGGCGACGCGGCCGCGGTCGCGGCGTCGGCCGACCAGCTCGCGGGCCTCCAGGACGGCTCCGACGACGACCCGCTCCTGCCCCTGAAGCTCACGTGGCAGAACTTCCGCGGGACCGTCAGCGCGACGAAGAAAGTTTTCCTCGCCGAGGTCCGCGTCCAGCGCCTGCGCCTCGCGCGCTGGCTCACGGGGGGGAAGGAATAACTGCGGCGTGTCGATGGCACAACACCCCGGGTTTTAGAAGCACCCGCTTCGCGGCGACCTCCGGCGCGCGCTCGCGCTGCCGCGACGCGTCGAAGGCCGCGACGGCCGCGAGGCCCCTGTAGACTCTTCTGTGACCACGCCTGTCCTGGCGCAGTCGTCGTCGACGACGACGCGAGAATGATTCGATGTCCCAGCCGTCGCCAGGAGGCCGAGGAAGAGGCGTAGGACGCCTCGTAGGCGTGCGTAGAGCGTAGGCTGAGCTGTCGTCGACAAGTCGAACCTCCTCGGCCCGAAATCGCGGTTTGCCAAGTGTTTGCCGTGCGAAACCAAAATTTGTCTCAAGCAAATGGTGTTTCGCGTGCTCGTCGGCGCTCTCGCCGCGGTCGGTTGCGTCTTCGGGGGGTCCCCCGCGGCCGTCGCCGGGCGCGGGGGCGCGCCCGCGGCGCCGGCGCTCCGGTCGCTCGGCGTCAAGGTCCTCGCCCAGCGGCGCGAGCCCGAACTGCGGCGCCTGCTCGCGTCCCTCGACGCGGCGGACTATCCCGACGCGGCGGACATCTCCGTGGAGATCTTCGTCGACGGCCTGCCGCGGACGTCGTGGTTCGGGCGGAACCGCGGCCTCGGCCGCGACCGGAAGCACGCGCGCGCCCGCGCCTCCCTCTCCCTCGCGCGCGCGGCGACCCCCCCCCTCCCCCCCCAGGTACTCAAGACGGCCCGCGCCTGGGCGTCGACGTGGCCCCGCGGCGAGGCGATCGTCGTCGACGTCGAGGAGAACCGCGGCGTTCGAGGCGCGTGGTTGGCGGCGTACGACCCGTCGGTCTTCGGCGACGAGGGGCGGCGCGCGGTCGTCTTCGAGGACGACGTCGTCGCGTCGCCGGCGTGGTTCCGCTTCCTCACCGACGCCGTGGCGGCGTCGCGCGGCGCGCCGGGCGTCGCGGGCGTGTCGCTCCAGCGCCAGCGGAGCCGCCTCGACGGTACGGCGCGCGAGCTCGGCGACGCGGCCGCGGCCCAAAACAAGCTCGCGCCCCTGGCGCCCGCGGACGACGGCCTCTACGTCTTCGGCCACGTCGGGCCCTGGGGCTTCTCGCCGGAGCCGGGCGTCTGGCTCGCGTTCCGCAAGTGGTTCCGCAAACTAGGGAACGCCGTCGACGACGAGAAGTCGTACTCGGCCGGCGCGGACGGCACGCCCTACGCGGAGCGCGACGCGCGGACCTACCGCGAGTCCCTCGTCGCGCGCTGGTACCGGCGGTCCCTGGCCGCGGCGCGCGGCGACGCGCCGGCCGCCGCGGGCGCGCCCGGGAGCATGTGGACGGCGCACTTCGACGCGTTCTGCGCCGCGCGCGGCCTCGGCGTCGTCCACGCGCGCGTCCGGGGCAACGCCCTCGCCTTCGCGGCGAGCGCGCGGTCCGACGGCGAGCACTACGCGGGCGTGAACCGCCTCGACGCGGAGCTGGCGGGAGCGGACGACTACGCGGCGGCGATCCGCGGCGACCTCTTCGGCGACCGCGACGCGGGCCTCCCGCGCGTCACGCTCGCGGGCGACGCCGAAGCCCCGGCGATGACGGCGGCCGCGGCGCGGCGCTACGCGGCCTGGTACGGGGGCTTCGCGTCGCGGGGCGCGAAAGCGCGCGCGGACCGGCGCCGCCTCGCGTTCGACGCGGGCGTCGACCCGACGCGGCGTGGGTGCCGGCGGGCGGCTGGGGCGCCGCGGCTTCGCTGGCGACGCCGGACCTGCTCCAGGGCCTGCACCACGGCTACGCGGGCCTCCAGACGGTCGACCGCGACGCGGCGCTCTGCGTTTTATCAAATACGCGCGTCGCGATCCTCGGCGATTCGATCCAGCGCTACTTCGCCTTCACGCTCAACTACTTCCTCAACACGGGCGAGATCCCGCCGGAGTACGAGGGTGACCACTGGGGCCCCGAGCCGACGGACGACTACTACGACGACGGGACGACGTGGACCGACGACGGCACGGACCGGTCGCCGGAGAAGTCGTCGCACCGCCAGAAGATTAGTGCGGCCTTCGAGGGCGGCGCGACGACGACCTTCTTCTTCATCCAGGACACGTGGTACGGCGACCTCGAGACGCTGAGCGGCGAGCTCCGGGGCGGCTACGACGTCCTCCTGGCCAACAGCGGGTGGTGGGAGCTCAAGGCGTCGGACGACGACGGCACGGACTGCGAGGAGTCGGACATGTACGAGAAGGGCGCGTGCCTCGACGCCTACGGCGACGAGGTCGCGGCGCTCTACGACGGCCTCCTGCGCCACTTCCAGGCGGACGGCAAGATGGCCGTCTGGCGGACCTGCAACTGCTGCGGCGACACGAAGATGGACGCGGGCGAGCTCCGCGAGGGGTCCATCGCCGTCTCCGCGATGAACGCCGTGGCGACCCAGGTCCTCAGCGACCGCGGCGTCGAGATCATGGACGTGCAGGACACGGCGGACCTCAGCGACGTCGGCGCGGGCGACCCGGGGGACCCGGACGGCCGCACCTTCGACGGCGGCCACCCGCGCGCGGCCGTGCAGTACGCCTGGGTCCAGCTCTTCCTCAACAAGGTCGCGCGGAAGCTCGGCCGCGAGTCCTGCCTCGCCGGCGGCGGCCCGGGCACGCCGAAGCCGACGCGCTCGCCGACGCCGCGGCCCACGCCCCGGCCGGGCGACACCCCTTCGCCGACGCCGGCGCCGACGCCGCGGCCGACGCGGGCGCCGAACCCCGCGCCGCCGCCGCGCGAGGACGACGACGAGGGCGGCTACGGGAACGACGGCAACGTGCGCGACGTGTCGACCTGCGGCTCCCTCGACGGCCCGGACGGCGTCGCCTACGCGCGCGACGGCCCGGAGCTGAGCGAGGTCCTCGGCGTCTGCCCCGCGCCCGGGCAGCGCGTCCTCCTCGCCGTCGCCGTCGCCGTGCTCGCCGCGGCGCTCGTCGCGGCCGCGCGGGCCCGCGTCGGGCGCGGGCCCGCGACGGGCGCGCCGCCGGCCGCGGAGAAGCGGGGCGACCCCATCGACGTCGAGCTGTCGGGCGCGGCGCTCGCCGTGCTGCGGGACATGGAGAAGCGCGAGGCGGCGACGGGGCGCAATTCCGTGAGCGTGACCCACGCGAGCGCGTCGCGGCGCCACCGCGCGTCGCGGACGTCCGCGTCGCGCCTGTCGCACTACGTCGGCGGGCGGAAGAGCGCGTCGCAGTTCTCCGAGTACGCGCCGGCGACGGGCGGGCGCGACGGCCGCATGTCGTCCGTCGCGTTCTCGCTCTACGACGGCGGCGACTCGGACGCCGACGAGTCCGAGGCCGGCGACGTCGAGGCCCGGGCCGAGGCGCCGCCGCCGCCGCCGCCGTCCGGCGCGAAGACGCGCGCCGCGTGCGCCGCCGCGGCGCAGATGGGCCTCCTCCTCGCGGCCTGCGCGATCGGCGACTCGCGCATGCCCGCGGGGCTGCTGCCCGCGGGGACGACCGTGCGGACGGAGAACGTGGACCTCTGGACCTTCGTCATGGCGTCGCTGGCCCTCGCGAGCGCCTGGCAGATGCGGCCCCTCGAGGTCGACGGCGGCAAGGAGGCCGCGCTCTTCATGAGCCGCGCGCAGGCGAACGAGTGGAAGGGCTGGATGCAGGTCGCCTTCGTCGCGTACCACTACACGAACGCCCAGGACGTCTACGTGCCCATCCGCTGGGCCGTGAGCGCCTACGTCTGGCTCACGGGCTTCGGCAACGGCGTCTACTTCTGGAGCTCCGCGGACTTTTCGCCGAAGCGCTTCGCGCAGCAGCTCTGGCGCATGAACTTCCTCTGCGCGCTCCTCGCCATGGCGACGAACACGGCGTGGATCGACTACTACTTCGTCGCGCTCGCGACGGTCCACTTCGGGCTCATCTTCCTGAGCCTGGGCGCCGCGCGGTTCGTCGGCGGCCGGTGCCTCGGCTGGGCGGCGCCGGATCGCAAGGCGGGCCGCGAGGCGCGCGACGCGGAGAAGGCGCTGGGCGTGGTCTTCATGGTCGTCCTCACGGTCGTGCTCTGGGTGCCGCCCCTGCTCCCGGGCGCGCAGCGCGACGGCGCGCGGGGGACGCCGTACTACTACGTCTTCGACTGGTGGCTCGCGAAGATCTCCGACCACACGGCGGACTACTTCTGGTCCCGGACGCGCATGGACTACCTGAGCTCCATCCACGGCCTCCTCTTCGCCGCGGTCTACGCGCGCTTCCGCGACGCCTGGCCGGCCATGGCCGCGGCGAAGAAGGGCGCGCTCGGCGTCTGCGCGGCCGCCGCGCTCGCCGTCGCCGTCTCCGTCGCGAAGCGGCCCGCGTACTGCTGCGACGGCGGCGCGGAGTACCGCAAGATCAACGCCTACGTCGGGCCCCTGTGGATCCCCGCCTACCTCCTCGCGCGGAACGCGACGCCCTGGCTCACGAACCACGTGGCGCGGCCCGTCGAGTGGATCGGCATGCACTCGCTCGAGTTCTACCTCCTCCAGTTCCACGTGCTCCTCACGCGCAAGTCCCAGCTCGTCCTCTACGTCATCCCCAAGGAGTCCTGGGGCTACACGAACATGGCCCTCGTCACGGGCATCTACGTCGCCGTCTGCGTCAAGGCGCTCGAGCTCACGAACGGCCTCCGCGCGGTCGCGTGGCGCGCGGCGTCGCACCGCGTCGCCGCGGGCGCCGTCTGGACCGTCGCGGCCTACGCGACCTTCGAGGCCCACTTCGACGAGGCGGCCCACCCCTGCGACGGGGCCTCGTGGGCCGTCTGGGCCATCTTCGCGCTCGCCGCGACCGCCGCGCTCGTCTTCTGGACGCTCGAGGCCTAGCGAGCGACGCGCGCCGGCGACGGCGCCGAACAACGACCCCCC